GTTTATGGGCACTATTCACAATAGCAAAGACTTGGAATCAACCCAAATGTCCATCAGTGGACAGACTGGTTTAAGGAAAATGTGGCCACATATACACCATGGAATACTGATGCAGCCATAAAAAAGGACGAGTTTGTGTCCTTTGTAGCACATAGATGCAGCTGGAAACCATCATTCTCAGCAACTATCGCAAAGAACAGAAACCAAATGCCTGATGTTCTCCCACTCATAGGTGGGAACTGAACATGAGATCACTGACACAGGGAAGGGAACTACCACCACTGGGGTCCTATTTGTGGAGAGGGGGTGGGGAAGGATAGCATTACGAGATATACCTAATGTAAATGACGAGTTAATGGGTGCGGCACACCAAGAGGCACATGTTATACGTATGTAAAAACCTGCACATTGTGCACATGTACCCTAGAACTAAAGTATAATAAAATAAAAAAAAAAAAAAAAAAAGAAAAAATAAAACATTTCAAGAATTAAAAAAAAAAAAAAGTCGAAGTATACTCATACATGAAGTACTATTTAGCAAAATAGTACTGATATTGTGCATCAAATTAGATGAATGTCATCAAAAGCATCATGTTAAATGAAAGAAGACACTCAAAAGACTTGATGACTGATAAGATATAGGTGGTGATAAAAAAAAGTTGTCCAAGATTACTTGAAAGTTTCTTGTTTGGTTGTCATGACAGATTAAAATGTGTAAACCTTCCAAAAGAGAATAATGGAGGCCAAGAAAGAGTCTTATACAATGCCTAACTAAGAGTTGGAAATAAGGACCAGCAGAGATTCAGACAAGAAGAAGAAAATACCAGTTAAGACAATATGCTAACTGTAAGAAGACAGAATTTTAAAAAGAATCATAGTAGGAATCATAATACTGCTCTGAGGCACAGAACTAAGTGCTTCATCTACATTATCACATTTAATCCTCACCACCACCCCATGAAGTAATTATTTTAATTATTCTCAAATTAAAAACAGGACACTGAAGATCAAAGATCTGAAACAATGTGGCTGAGATCACACAGTTAGCAAGGAGTCTAAGTGGATTTAATGGCAGATCTGTCTGATTTCAGAGACAGACTTCAGAGTTCGCTCTTAGCAGTCTACAGGATCAATGCTGTAGAAAGAGCTAGTAGTACAAGGTTAATAAAAATGCAATCCCATATATTGTCTGGAATGATTAAAATAATTTTCTATAGTATCTACAATGTTGTGACATATTTGTTAAAAGTTGTAGAAAATGGGGCAAACGTCATCTGGTTTAGCAGAGAAGTATTAGGTAGAAAGGACAATCTCACATGATTCTATATATTAACTAATTCTATTTAGGCCTAAAATGTCACTTGATTACTGTTTAGAATTTCAGACCTAATGAAGCATTTTGTTGTTTCTTGTTGCAACATAGCTGCTTCTTTACTGATTCACTTCATTTGTTCTGAAAATAATACTAGAGGCAATATGAAGAAACCAAAATTACAGCAGTGAAAACTCATTCTCATTTCTGGGGACAACCACAAAGGTACATACCTGATATATGCCTGAATAAAACTGTTATATCAAAAATAATTTTCAAATACCTCTCAAGACAGATGCTGACATGTGACACTGAGGTAGTTAGATCATAAAAAATCTTAGCCGAGTCTGACAGAAAGTACAGCATTAAAAGTGTTCTTTTAGCTATTATTCATTATAAATGAAAATGTTTATTACCGAAGAAGTGTTTTCGAAAGAGACTTCTAACATTTTAATTTTCTAAAGTTTGAAGAAAATCAAAATGGGATAATAGATGCTATTAAAAAATGAATAGTATACATTTAAAAGGGGAGGAATACGTAATATTTTTACTGTTTATAATAAAACATAATGAACTGATAGTTACAGAAAAAAAGATTTCAGTGAACTCATTAAGTTCAAGAACTGCAACTTATTCAACTTTATATTTCCTGCATACTATGACATTTTGAAAATGTTCAACCTATACACAATTTTAAACTGGAAATTTTTCAAATTTATAATAATTTATATCTACATTATCTTAAAATTGTATCATCCACCAACTAAAAAGAAAACAAAACATAACCTAACATTAAAGGGAAAAAATAGAAAGGAAGAACTAGGAAATATACTTCTAAAAAATCAAAGAATAAGATTCAGACAAAAAGGAGCAAGATGGGATAGGAATGCAAAAATGTAAAAAAGATATTTTTGTTATTCTAAAGTTCAGTAAAAAACAAATATATGTAATCAAAACATGGCTTGAATAGACAAGCTTGCGAATATAATGTGTATTTTGGTCAGGCTAAACTAGAAAGGAGCTTTCATTTTTTATTTCTCTATCTTATTTCCTAGGTTTCTTGGGGCTTACACTTGTTTTAATGTCTCTGCTAAGGTAAGTTTTAAAAAACTATGTGTTAAATAAGTATTTTGCCAAATTCACCACTTTCTCTTGAAAGAAAGTATTTTAGTGGACTCCACAAAGTACTATGCCAGTCAAGAATATTGTTTTGAAGAATAAAGCACAACTGACCCTTGAACAATACGAGTCTGAACTGTGCAGGTCCATGCATACATAGATTTTTTTCAACCAGACACAGATACAGTATTTGAGAGATATGAAACCTGTGTACAAGAAGGGCTGACTTTCAAATTTGTGGGTTTCACAGGGCCAACGAAGGGACTTGCGTATGTGATTTTTATACACTCAGGCAGTCCAAGAACCAATCCCCTGGACATACCCCAGGGACGACTGTAATTTAAAAATTGGTAAGGCGATGTTTCTTTCCTCTCCTTCCCCATTTATGGAGCATATGGCTATTAAGCTAAAAGATATTTGAGGATACTAGTTACATCTACAACAGTTCTTGACTACACAGATACATCAAAATACATTTCACCTAGGCTGATTTTGTTTAGGTATTTGTTTAAAATCTTGGAAAAATCTATGAAAAATTTTCACAATACTTTTCCCTTCAAATAACTTAAGACTCACTACGAAAGTATTCTAACCCTTAAAAATTCATGTCAGCATTTAATAAATGAGATTAATCTCTTCAAAAAGCTTTATTTTTTCAACTACAAGAACCTCAGCATATACCAGAGTTTTGTTCTAAGTACAAGACTTTGCCAAAAGCAAAAGCACTCAATATATAATTTTAATAATGAAAACCTAGACTATTAGAAACCCAAGCTGTGTGTGGAAAAAATAAATCATTTAGGTGAAAGGGTAACAAACATTTAATTCAAGGATAACGCAGCCCTGAGGGAAAATATGCACATGAACGAAGCTTATGAAATTGGTTCAATGCCTATGCAAAGAAAAAAATAATTAGTTTATTTTAAAGCTGGCTATAAAATATTTTCAATATTGCAGTATGAATTATTTATAGAAAAACATACATCTAACTTTAAAGCTACAATTTTATTGAAAGATCTTGAGTACTATGAGAGGAACTAGAAATAGGAATATATCATTTTATGTATGTAATATTTGGGTGATTCTTTTTTAATTACATGATTTCCCAAAAAGTTAAGATTATCAGTTTTAATCAGTAATATTTTATTCTACTTTTTCTTTTCAAAATTAAGAAGTAAAACTGAGAGTGGGATATCACTTTTATTTTAAATTTTATAAAAAATGCCTTTTAAAGTTGACTAATACATCAAGGTGTGTTACTCTGAAATCATAATAGCTAATTTAAAAACTGAATGAACAGGTTTAAGCTTAAATAATAAAAAAATTTTTTTTAGTGTTTTTGAAGTTAATGAAGAATCTTAGGGAAAGCATTTGGATTTGAGGTTTACTATAATGGTACTATGTGTGCTACCAAAAAAGTTCAAATGTATCCATAAGACTCTTATGTTTGGAACATTACGTTTAATTAATTTTCTGATTAATAATATGGCACAGACTCTACAGAAAGCCACATAGTGCTTGAATAGTGTGAGTAGGCGTATAGTTTTCTGAACCTTTCTTGAGAGAACTATTAATATGACAGAGGCCGGGCACAGTGGCTCATGCCTATAATCCCAGCAATTTGGGAGACTGAGACAGAAGGATCACCTGAGTCCAGAAGTTAGTGAGAGAGTGAGTGACAGGGAGGGAAAGAGAGGAAAGCGGGGGGTTGTGGGGGAGAGAGAAAGAGAAAATCATTAATTTTTTTTTAAAAAAGCCTCATAACACATCATAATTTAAAAGCTAAAATAAGGTAGCCCAAGGGAAAGTGTATACTTCACTATGTCTTGGCTGAGAAGCAGACACACTGGAGCACCAGTAACTTAGTAAGAGCTTTTTTACTTTCTCAGTCAATGATGTGGTAAGTCATAATCTGGCCTCTAGGTTATAACTTGAGCTCTCCTGAAGTAGTGTCATTCTGGTTGTACAAGGCACATACAATAATAAACTTTAAAGAGTAATACTTAATATATAATTAATATAAGGACTGCCAATTTATGAACACTAGAGGGCAGTAAAACACTAAGAAGATATATTTAAATTACAGATCTAAAACTGGCAAAGGCAAGACAGTACATTCTTTTATTAGAAAATCCTAACAATTTAATGAATTTATTCCTTTTTACGTTACTAAAGTACAAAGCATTCTTTAGTGTGTCATTTTAGTGTAACTTACTTCGCAAAATCCAAGTAAGAAACGTGTCCGTGATAAAATCCTGGTTTCATCTCTTTCCAGGAAGTTATATTCTTTACAAAGCGCACCTAAAAAGGGAGAACACACTCATTATGTACAATTTAAAGAATATGAAATTTGATGATAGCAAAATATTTCCAAGTAAGGAATTTAAAAACCTAAACCATTCTTACAGAGCTTGAAACACAGGTTAGGACTAAGGAAAGTATAGTGTAATCAGCAACTACTAAAATTCATCATAGAGACAGCTACTATCATTACACTCAGAAAAGAGTGAAAGATGATTCTGAAAACAAACTCGCACAATGAAATCCTTTACAATGCTGTAAATACATTTACATAGGGTTGGAGGAAGGTCATTGTGGGGGTATTTGCATCTACATCCCACCAACACACACGCTAAAGCAGGCAATACAGGGACATTCTAGCATATCAAACGTTTTCTTCTCAGATGCTTGCTGTTCATAAAAGTTTATTTTTATTAATGACTCAACAAATAAAAAGTAATCTTTAAACCAAAATGATTTTTAAAAAGCTGATGGTTATCAGAAGATATTTAAGAGTTAACAGCAGACATCACAAGCTTGTTGATAAAAAGATTAATAAAATTAAGAGATGTAATACAGGTCAAAATATTTAAAATTTCTAAATATTTAACTTACTGGAATTAAAGTATACAAACATTAATAGGAAAAATTCTCTAAGTATGTTTTAAAATGTCTAATAACTGGTTAATATAGAATTTGATAAACCTAAGTATCACTAGCTGCAAAGCAGTGATACACAATTTCTCAATGGAAAATGGTATGCATTTTTGATAAGCAAATCTCTGCATGATAAACAGCAAGTGGTTAAGAATCTCTTCTAGAACCTAGATAGAGTGCAGAAAATTGGGGCAGTGAGGTCCACCAACCTATACCGCACCAAAAGCATCGGCAAGCTATGACTTCAGCCTCTCAAACACAGAACTGTCAATTGCATAATTCTGGCAATTTATCAATCTTTCACTTACATCATAGAATAGGGATAGTCACATGGAGATATTCTGGAATACTTCATACTACACTCAATAATATCAATGAATGACGATAGCTGCCTCCTATTAAAGGCCTATTGGTAGGTGAGGGAGGGGAAACAGTGCAGATATAGCTATATGTTAGAGAATGTAAACTAGAGAAAAATGAGTTCTGGAAGAATTTATCTTTTAGGGGAAGCATTAATAACTCACATACTAAGAGAAATTATGAAGCTTTTAGAATGGAAATGGTATATATGCCTTACTTGGCCGCTCCATACACACATACATCCTTAAATTAAAATCTCAAAAATGAGCTGCAGATAAAAATTAGGTTGCATTAGAAAGTATACCATGTCATTTTAGCAGATATTTTCAATTTTTTCCCCCACTGAAACTGAAAGAGCCAAATAAATGTGATTTGAGGTTTTCATGTTCTTTCCAATTCTTCAACTAAGGCACCAAACAGAATGAAAATACCAAATTGCAAATGAAACAGAAACAAAATATAAAATTAAATAATCCAGGGCCTACATCTTTAATATACTTTATATGCTGAATATGAAAAGTCTTTATAGCTGCCACTTAATGGTACATTATTTCCTATAAACCTTTGGTTCTATGAAAATCAGTTCTAGTATTTCAACTAAAAATGAGAGGAAAAAAGATGGCAAAGAGAATAAGGAATTGAAGATGGTGGCTAAAGGGAGCTTAAGACATATTTAGCAACTCACCTCTGTTTTCCAGAAGCTGAGATTTAATGTGGACATGGTGATGTAGGAGGGAAATGAAAGACGCTACATTGAGGTCTGAAAAAATAGTGTTATATAAACTAAATAGCAGGGAAGATCATAGTACGAGCTTGGAATATACTGTGGTGAAAGACTTAGGCAGAAATAAGAGTCAGGTACAAATTCAAATATTCTTTTTCCTCCAATGAAGCTTCCTAAGAATGGTCAATATTAAACTAAACTCTCTCCTGAGGATGAGTGATATCTCATCCAATGTGTGTCCTTCAACACAAAGTGAAAAAAGCCCAGGAAGCTGGGTAATGTCTACACTACCACAAGGCTTCTCATTTCTTCTAGGTTTTCCAATTTACTGGCATATAGTTGCCATAGTAGCCTCTAATGATCCTTTGAATTTCTGTGGTATTAGTTGTAAGGTCTCCCTTTTTATCTTGGGCTAAAAGTTTCTTGATTTTGTTTATCTCTTCAAAAAACCTTTTTTTTTTTTTTTTTGAGACGGAGTCTTGCTCTGTCGCCAGGCTGGAATGCAGTGACGCGATCTCAGCTCACTGCAACCTCCGCCTCCCGGGTTCAAGCAATTCTCCTGCCTCAGCCTCCCGAGTAGCTGGGACTACAGCACCCAGATAATTTTTGTATTTTTAGTGGAGACGGGGTTTCACCATGTTGGCCAGGATGGTCTCGATCTCTTGACCTCGTGATCTGCCTGCCTCGGCCTCCCAAAGTGCTGGGATTACTGATCTTTTTGTATTTTTTTGTTTCAATTTCATTTATTTCTCTTCAGATCATCATTATTTCTTCTATTCATTTTGGATTTGGTTTGCTCTTGCTCTTCTAGCTCTTTAAGATGCATCACTAGGTTGTTTATTTGACGTTTTTCTGTTTTTCTGATATAGGCACTGATTGCTATAAACTTCCTGTTAGCACAGATTTTGCTGTATCCCATACATTTTGGAAGGTTGTATTTCCATTTTCATTTCTTTTAAGAAATTGTTAAGTTTCCTTCTTAATTTCTTTATTGACCCATTCATCACTCAAGAGCATGTTGTTTAATTTCCATGTGTCTTGCTATTGGTTTCTAGTTTTATTCCACTGTGATCAGAGAAGATATTTGATATTATTTCAATTTTTTTTTTTGAACTCTTTAAGACTTGTTTTGTGACCTAACACGTGATCTATCTTTGAGAATGATTCATGTGTTGAGAAGAATGTGTATTCTGCAGTCATGGCATGAAATGTTCTGTAAATATTTAGTAGGTCCATTTGGTGTATGTCGCAGATTAAGCATGGTGTTTCTTTGTGATTTTTCTGTCTGGGTGTTCTGTCCAGTGCTGAAAGAGGGGTCTTTAAGTCTTCAGCTATTATTGTAATGGGGTCTATCTCTCTCTTTAGCTCTAGTAATATTTGCTGGATGCTCCAGTGTTGGATAGACATATGTTTAAACATTTTACATTCTCTTGCTGAATTGACTCCTTTATCAATATTTAGGACCCCCGAGCACTTCAGCCCATGGTGGCTGGGCTTGCTGGAACTGAGATACTAACTGCTGAGATGGAAGATTAACCTCTGGCTAGAGCTGTCTAAATGCTCCTTCTGTGGGCACCAGCTGAGCTCTGCCCAATGTTACCTTCTGTTGTGATAGGGCAGCACCATATGCAAATGCAAAGTCCCACAATCACTGTGCTCTCCCCATCCCCAGGGTGCAGATTCTCTTTCTGCACCACGTGGCAGGTACCAGGAGGAATGGGGGAGGGGTGGTGTAGGAGATACAAGACTGTGTTTCCTATCCTCTTCAGTGCTTCTTTCCTTAATATGTTAAAACTAGGTACTATGATTGCTCACCTGATTTTTGGTTCTTACGGGGGTGCTTTTTTGTGTGGACAGTTTTTCAATTTGATGTTCCTGCTGGGGGACAATTGCTGAAGGTCTCTATTTGGTCATATTGCTCTGTCTTCCTCCCCCATATCATGATTCTGCTTTAACCAACTTAGACACTGAAAATCTCAACTTTTATCCACTACTAAGGCAATCCCTCAGATCCAGTCACTCAAAACTCTCTAGCATCTCAAAGCTCTGTTGATATAACTCTCACAATTGTTTATTTCCTTGTGAATTCATTCATTAACTTTATTATCATATCAACTTCCAATTCACCCTGATCACTACTCTCTTTACTGGACAACCATTTTAACAATAACCCTTGACATTTGCTCCCTTGTCTTTTTATTATCTTGGGTAGCCAATGGGGTTGCTGAGTACTCCTGGTTGAAACCAAGAGACTACGTCTAAATATCTATGTAGGATTTTGAATTTTACTTCCTAAATTCACGCTATCTGAGGTAAATTCAGGTGATTATTATTGCTTTAAAATTTTCTAGACTGCATTGTTTTTTCTCTCTCTTTTTTTTTTTTCTTTCTTGAGACAGAATCTCATTCTGTCACCCATGCCGGAGAGTATAGTGGCATGATCATAACTCACTGTAACCTCTAACTCCTAGGCTCAAGTGGTCCTCCCACCTCAAGTCTCCCAGTAGCTAGCACTGCAGGAATGCACTACCACGCCCAGCCAAGATTTAACTTCTTTTTTTTCTTTTTTTGGTAGAGTAGTTAGCAGGGCTGTTCTTGAACTCCTGGGCTCAAGCGATCCTCCCACCTCAGCCTCCCAGAATCCCAAAGTGCTCACAGGCCTAAGCCACTGCACCTGGCCTCTACTATTGTTAAAGTCCTCGAAACACACAGAATCTCTTTCTAAGCTCAAACTAAAAGCATACTAAAGGCTACATATGTAATATATCTGGCATATGTATTTTTCTTTCATCTCATCACCATTTAACTAAGGCAATATGTTAAAGTTTCATTAACATAGCTGTGGCTGATTTAAAATTTGCAGTAAATCAAAAGATGCTGAACTGAGGTTTACCTTCTCTTTATGAAGAAAAAAGTGTGAAGCAAATAAATGATGTCAATACGGCTAACATGATTCACACTAATCTAGAAAACAGTCTGAGCATTTGAAAATGTTGGCCAGGTGTGGTGGCTCATGCCTGTAATCCTAGCAGTTTGGAAAGCTGGGGCAGGCAGATTTCCTGAGCTCAGGGGTTTGAGACCAGCCAAGGCAACATGGTAAAACCCCGTCTCTACTAAAATACAAAAAGTTAGCCAGGCGTGGTGGCTCATGCCTGTAATTTTAGCTACACGGGAGGCTGAGACAGGAGAATCACTTGGACCCGGGAGGTGGAGGTTGCAGTGGGCCAAGATCGCACCACTGTACTCCAGCCTGGTCTAGCCTGGGCGACAGAGCAAGACC